TCATCTGACCTCCCATCACAACTTCTCATTAACTCTGTTCCTGTGTCAAATAAGCACGAGATCCTGAACTGTCTCAACAAACATTTTGTTGCTTCTGGTTCTTTATTTGACACAGTTACTAATGGAAGATCAGCCACTTCACTTAATAACCAAACTTCTACAAATCAAATCCCTCCTACAAGTCAATCCTCAGTTAATCACAGCTTCTCTTTTTCTCCATTCTCAGTCAGTGAGGTCAATAAACTGTTAATAGATCTTGATCCTAAAAAATCTGCAGGTCCAGATGAACTTCCACCTTATTTCTTAAGGCTGGCCGCTCATATCATCACAGTCCCTGTGACCCACATCTTCAATCTCTCCATAAGACAAAACTCCATCCCAGACACTTGGAAAACAGCATTTGTTCTTCCTTTGCTGAAGGGAGGAGACCCCACCTCACTGAACAACTATCGACCAATCTCTAAACTCTGCATTTTAGCCAAGGTTCTAGAAAAACTGATAAACTCTCAAATCAAAAATTACCTGGACTCATTTAACATCTTACCTCCACATCAATCTGGTTTCAGGAAACAACACAGCACAACCACTGCTTCACTGAAGGTTCTTAATGATGTTGTTGAAGCACTGGATGCTAAGCATTATTGTGCTGCACTTTTCTTAGACCTGTCCAAAGCTTTTGACACTGTGGATCATAACATCTTGTGTCATAAACTCTCAGAAATTGGTTTCTCAGAACACACCATTGGTTGGTTCTCTAACTATCTTTCAGACCGGAGGCAATGTGTTCAACATAATGGTACTTCCTCCAGTTATTTAACAGTCAACAATGGTGTACCACAAGGCTCAGTCTTAGGACCCACCCTCTTTACAATCTACATACATAATGTAGGTAAAAACATTCCTAATGCATCCATACATTTCTATGCTGACGACACAGTTGTTCATTGTCGAGCTAAAACTGTTGCTAAAGCTTTCCAGCTTTTGAAATCTGCATTCAACATCATCCAGACTGATTTGTTTCACCTCAAACTTGTCCTAAATGCCGACAAAACCAAAGGGATGCTTTTTTCAAATAGGAAGTTGGTCCCAGCAGTTCTTCCTCCGATTTTATCCTCAAATGGTGTCCCCATTGAGTTTGTTGATTCCTATAAATATTTGGGTATCTTGGTCGACTCACATCTCTCTTTTAAGCTCCATGTGGAAAACTTGATAAAGAAACTGAAAGTTAAACTGGGTTTCTTTTTCAGAAACAGATCCTGTCTAACCCTGAATGCTAGAAAACGCCTTGTATCTGTGACTTTCCTTCCCTCAATTGATTATGGTGATATTATTTACATGAACGCTCCTACAAGAACCCTGCAGATGTTGGATGCTGTCTATCATGGTGCACTAAGATTCATAACTGGCTGTGATTATCGTACCTACCACTGCACACTGCATTCACTGATTAACTGGACATCATTAACTTCACGCAGACTCTCTCACTGGTATATCTTTAAATCACTTCTTGGTCTGTTGCCTTCATACATCTCCTCCTACATGTCTCTGCGTGAGTGCAGCTACGGAGTGCACTCTCAGGACATTATTACCTGCAGTGTTCCCTCAATGAGGACTGAACTAGGCAAAAGGGCCTTCTCCTATTCTGCTCCTGTTTCCTGAAACATCTTACAAAAAGATTTGAAGCTCTCGACTTTGACCTCTCTAAGTGTCTTTAAGAATCTGTTGGACACCTGGCAGGGTCCAATGCTGACATGCTCCTGTTTTTCGTTTTCTACATTTGTCTTGGAATCTAGCTGTTTTTTGTTTTGTTACCTTTTCCTTTTAGCCATCCTATTTGTTAAAAAATAAAATAAAATAAAACTGTAGTATGCTTTTTTATAACTGTTTATTGTTGTTGATTTTAACCAATCAGAGGACTTCTTACAGTAGAAGTATCCCACTGTATAAGTAATGTAATTAAAATCTCCCTTCTCAAAGTTCTTCAGAGTAGATAATACAATGACCCTTTGTTAAGGATGTGTGACACCATGCTGATACAAACAAAATGGGTTTATTTGAATCAAAACTTCAACAGGGGTTTAGCTTCCTTTATTGTCATGGCAACCAGTCTCTGCTGATAAGGCCAAATTAAGCTTTTTGATCAAGACCCTTCTTCAGGAGTCTCAAAGTCTGGTGACTCAACATAGAAGGTGAATTACACAGAAGGGGGTCCAGAATCATGCAACATGTCAGGGTGGTCTCAGTTGTAGATTTTAACACACAGAGAAGGTTAACAAAGAAACTTCCTGAGCTTGAAAACAGAATGTCATTATCTGTCTCAGATTAGCAGGAAAGCAGGGGGTAGAGTAGACATAGTGTCTCTGAGGACATTTGTCTTAAGGTTCTTGGAAGGATGGACGCCTCACTGAAATTCACAAACAAGGTGTACCTTTAAGACCTATTGTCAGCATGAATAACTCTGTCACTTACAATGTTTCCAAATATATGACATCTGTACTCATCCCTTTAGTTGGCAGTTCAGAACACCACATACAGAACACCATAAAATTCATATCACAATATGTATTGTGAAGGGTGGCGATAACGATATATATCGCAATATGTTTTGGTATAAAACTTGCTAAAAAAAAGCATAGGGTGTTCTTTTGCCATCAAATATTTTGAATTAAGAAAATTCTACTACTAGATCCAGAAAGTTTTTAAATAATAAATCAAGTATTAGGCCTCTTTTTTGTAGTGCAAAACAGTGCAAAATATATCAAATATAGTTTTAGCCATATGTTTTAAACAAAATAATATGTTGTTAACTCTTAACATTTTCCAGTCTTGAGAAATGAACAGCAACAGAGCAGCATTTTACACTGAAACATTTCATTCTCCAAACCTCTAGTTGGCGCCTCCTTCTGCTTTAATGGAGAGCTGACACAAAATGAGTCTGTGGCTTTGACCAGAGGGTCTCGCAGAAAATCACACAACACAGCATTCTTTTCACAGATCAGAGAGCAGGTTTCTCTAAAGCTGACCAACTTTCGATGGGAAAAAAAAAAAATCTTTTGACAGAACACAGCGTTTTGAGCATGCGTCCAAATACGACAACACTACGGCAAGCCGGGCATAGTTAGCTTGTAACTTTGCTACTTAGCCCTCGAAGAAAATACTTTAACGCCACTTGCGCACAGTTTTCAGCTCAAAAAAAGTAACGATTAAATCTGACAGCTCTGATTTTACACTTGAACACCACTTACACACAGTTTTCAACTAAAAAAAGTAATTGATTAAACTGACAACTCTGATTTTACTTCAGACACAGCATTACTGCGGTTAGCCGGTAGAAGACAGATCTCTATCGTAGGCTAAATTTATATCGTTTCTACCATATACCGTTTATATCGCGCATTCCTATACGGGGGCCAATATTATAGGCAGAAACATGGGTGTGCTATGGGGTCTCCAGTTTTTCCTATTATTGCCAACCTGTACATGGAGGAGGTAAAAAAGAGAGCCTTGACAAACGTTTCAGGGACACCACCAAGTCATTGGTTCAGGTATGTTGATGACACCTGGGCTAAAATTAAATCTCAGGAAGTCCAACATTTCACTGATCACATCAACTGGATGGATAAATATGTAAAGTTCACATGAGAAGATGTAAAAAATGGCAGGCTGGCTTTTTTGGACTGTGAGGTCTCAGTTTCTGATAGAGGACATTTGCAAACAGAGGTGTACCACAAACCCACCTACACAGACCAGTATTTGCAGTTTGATTCCCATCACCCTTTGGAGCACAAGTTAGGAGTCATCAGGACTCTGTATCACAGAGCAGACAGCATCCCCACTAACTCAGGAGCCAAGCAGAAGGAGAAATCCCGTACAAGACAGGCTCTAGAGCAATGTGGATAGCCTAACTGGGCCTTCCTGAAAGCAGAGAAGAAACCCAAACAGGACTCCAGTCAGCCATCAGGTGAAAAGGAGGAACCCAGACCCAGACCAGTGGTCATTCCGTATGTTGAGGGAGTATCAGAGAAACTAAAACATTTATTTTCTAAACTTAACGTCCCAGTGGCTTTTAAACACCAAAATACATTATGGCAAAGACTGGTTCATCCCAAAGATCTAGTCCCCCGGCACAAACAGAGTGATATTGTGTATGCTGTTCAGTGTCAGGAGGGCTGTGATCAGTCTTACATCAAGGAAACTAAACAGCCACTGGCCAAAAGGATGGCCCAGCACAGAAGATCAACATCAGGCCAGGACTCTGTGGTCTACACTCACATCCAGGCCAGTGGTCACACTTTCAGGGATGACGATGTTCACATCCTTGATAGAGAGGAACGATGGTTCGAGAGAGGAGTAAAGGAGGCCATCTTTGTGAAAAGAAATCGTCCATCGTTAAACAGGGGTGGAGGCCTCCGTGTTCAACTGTCCCCCTCTTACAATGCTGTGATTGCTAGTATCACTCAGCCCCCTGTGAATTACATACAACCATCAGGGTGCTAATGATCCATCGTTGGGCTGATGTTCCTTCTTCATTATGTGAGCATCTAGTTTTGTCTGTCAGCAGCAAACTGGTTGATCCACTCTGAGAAGGTGCTAGGACTGAAGGTGAATACAGCACCTCAGACTGAAGAAGTCTTTCGGATGAAAGATGAAACGTTTCTACTTTTTTTTTGTCTGTTTTTTTGTTTGGTTTTTTGAATGTCCAGAGGACCAGACTTAACCTTTTTAGATGTTTGGTGTATTGTTTTTGTACTGCTAGTGCTTAACGTATTTTAAGGTAACGTTTTTCTTAGTTCATATCTTAGACGTTATTAGATTTTATTTTACATATTAAACTTTTGTTGGATTTAACTGGGACCCTGTGTACAAAATTTCATTCCACCACATGCACCACAAGTGGTGCTAATGACAAATAAAGAAACATTGACTGTCTTGACTGATATATACACACATACACACACACATAAAGGCTAAAAGCAGCCAACAAAAAGACAATTTCCTACCATAATGTGGTCAGGTGGTAGCTCGCCATCAATTGTAGAATGTTGTTAATGGGGGTGATAATAAAACCTGACCTAAAAGATCAAAAACATAAATTAAATACAGTCAAATAAATTAAGTTAGCTTTAGCTGCAGATGGGAGACTGCAACGAAGTGAAGATTCAACGTGTCTGCCATCTTCCTTATATAGTGAACTTTACTAATTGGCTTTTCTATGTGAATTCATTCAACCTTTATTTAGACAAGTTAATCCCATTGAGCCTTGAGGACTCATTTACAAGAGATACCTGATTTCAACAAAGAATTAAAGCTGCAAGCAGAATTGGAGGCCCTCGCAGCAAAGTGCCGCTCCGGCCTTACGGCGACCGTGGGAGTTCCAGCTATTCCATCCTCGGTCCCCTTCTCTTTTCTTTATACCTGCTGCCACTAGGTGCTATCTTCCGCAAACACGACATACCCTTTCATTTCTACGCCGATGATTGCCAAATTTACTTCCCCCTGAGGCACAGAGGCACACGCTCTATTCAGCCTCTTCTTGACTGCCTGGCTGACATCCGGGACTGGATGGCTTTAAACTTCTTAAGCTTCAATGAGAAGAAGTCTGAAGTCATGCTGTTCCATCCCAGTGGCTCACTCATGAACCATGACATTGACCTTTTCTCTCTAGCCCCGCTAGAGAAACAAAAGGTCACTAATCTGGGGGTGATAATGGACCCGTCCTTAAAACTCAACAGTCACGTAAACATGATGGTAAAATCCTGTTTTTTTCAGCTGAGACGGCTGTCTAAGCTGAAGCCTATACTCTCCAAAAAGAACCTTGAGACAGTGATCCACGCCTTCATAACATCTAGGCTTGATTACTGCAATTCACTTCTGTTTGGAATCAGTCAGTCCTCCATTGCTCGTCTACAACTGGTCCAAAATGCTGCAGCCCGATTTTTAACTGGTACAGGCTATAGAGAGCACATCACGCCAGTTTTGGCCTCCCTGCACTGGCTACCCATTCACCTTCGGATCCATTTCAAAATTCTCATGTATGTTTTTAAATCACTGAACAGTTCCGCCCCATCCTATCTCACTGATCTTCTGCAGCCATATGTCCCACCGCGCTCTCTGAGGTCAGCAGACCAGATGCTTCTCTCAGTCCCAGAAACCCGTCGTAAGCTCAGGGGTGACAGGGCTTTCTCTGTTGCAGGTCCACGACTGTGGAATGAGTTGCCACTGAGTGTCCGGCAGGCTCCCACACTCTCAGTCTTTAAGTCTCGCTTGAAGACCCACTTCTATTCGCTTGCCTTTAACACGGTGTGATTTGTTTTGGCCCGGTCTGTTCTTTACTCTGTTGGCCATTTTAGTTAGCTCCTGCTGCTATTTGTATCTGTATTTCTATTTTATGTTTTCCTGTCTGCTGTGCATGTTTATGTTCTTTTGTACAGCACTTTGGTAGGCCTTGTTGCTGTTTTAAGTGCTATATAAATAAATTGGTATGGTATGGTATGGTATTTGCCATCGTGAACGCCCTTGTGCCAGTCCCGTACGCGCTCATCACGGCGTGCACTTCCCGAATCTTTACATTGTCTTTCGTCCATGTCATTACTTGTCCAGCTGTAGGTCTTACAAGTATAGGCGAAAGCTGACCTTCCAGACAGGAGTTATGGGGACTTCCTGTTTTGTAGCGAATGTTTGACAAGCACTTCCTTTATGCTTTTCAACATGTCATGTGTGGTAATCAACAGTTAACGAACAAAGTTTCAGTCAAATATCTCACACAGTGGGAAGCTGGAAGTGTCATCCAATAATCTACAGTTTTTCTCTGAGAAGGTGGGGCTTAAGTGATGTCATGAATCAACAATACTAATGTGTCTACAAGTGTTCACTGATGAAGCACAAAAACTCAGGTTCAGATTGGATCATATATCACTGAGATCTAACTGTTGGAATAATCTAGTGGGTGCACTTGAGTCATATGTTAAAGAATAATATCATTGTGTCTATAAGTGCTCACTGATCACCCACATAAAATCTGTTACATATAGGATAATATTTCACTGAGACATAACTGTTGGAATAATCTAGGTGGCACACTGGAATCAAACGTTAAACAACAATACCAGTGTGTCTAGAAGTGTTCACAAATGACGTACGCAAAATCTCGCGTAGATCAGATGATATATCACTGAGATATAAGTAATTAAGTAATCTAGGGGGCGCACTTGAGACACATGTTAAACCACAATATCAATGTGTCTAGAGGTGCTCACTGATTATGCATAAAAAATCTGGTTCAGATCAGATGATGTATCACTGAGATATAACTATTGGAATAATGTAGGGGGCACACTTGAGTCCAAAGTTAAACAACAATATCAATGTGTCTATAAGTGCTCACTGATCACGCA